TTTTTTTTAAAAAGAGGGAGATAAATTACTGTGGTATTCACACAGCTTTATATTTTGTAGCTTCTTTAAATACGCTGTAATGTCTTGCAATAGTTTTCAGTCCCCCTTACAATATTCTGTGTAACTGTCTTTGCCGCTCACACACACACACACGACTTTTCACAACTGTTATCCTGTTTGTTCTTTACAACAGTCTAAAGCATTTGTCATGTTCTAACTTCTATTCAAGCACAGTAGTCATCTAGATAAGGACTTAAATTAATGTTTAAGGATAAATAAATTAACATTTAAAAGAGAGGGAAGGGAGGGTCGCTGCAAGACCATATGAGGTAATTGAATCAAAACAACTGGAAGACTGATGAATTCTAGGAGGTATCCATTAAACCTCTATGGTAAGAGTTGATGATAAATGACTTGGAGGCCAATGATAGAGAATAATGTGCCTCTTTATTTTAGTAACGATTTATTTTATGTGAGTTAGTCGGTGACTATTGACCACTGTTGCCTTTTTGGCTCCCTTAATCGCACATGAAGACAGATAGTTTCCATTTACTTTGGTATCACAATAATTAAGAGATTCCACTCAGAAGAATGGTCTCTATCATGTCATTCTGTATCTTTTTCTCTCCAAGTTCCTGTGACACATCCTGGAGCTATAATGATTCACACTGTGTAGGTTTTAACTTCTCAATAAACTTTTTGCTGCCCAGCAACACTTGCATCTGCAAATGTCTCTGTCCTGGATAAGGGATTCCTACAATACAATATTCCAAATGGCTGTTTTGGCTACCACACCACCAAAAAGTGGATCTGTTGAGCAGTTTATGAGATACACTTTGCTGCCATAGATTGTAAGCTAGGAAACTACACCATGAGAATCAATATTGGGCTTGTATCTTATCTGAGCTTAATATCTTAGGCTGGGAATTCCTTTTTATAGAAGGAACATCTTTTGATACATTATTGGAAAATCAGCCACACTTCGAACTGCAATTTCTAGTAGATGATTTTTACTTAAAGGTTGAGACTGCTATTCTATCGCATAATAGCAAAATAACCTTTCATTGTTTGCACAAAGAAACAATCCAAAAAGTCAAAATAGCAGCCATGAACTTCTGGCCATTGTCTCAACACACATTAAAAATTGGGGCTTTGGTCACTTGATTGAAACCACCATTTTGACTTTTTTAACCCCCTTTCTTTGGACACCCTTGGCTATATCAGTGCAAATATTGCCTGATTTCTTCCTTCTGCTATTCAGTTCCCTTCTCACATCATTTAAGACATGGTCTGATTAGAGCTTCCTGAGACATTTCCTTATCACCTTCTATTAAACCATTGATTCTTATCTTGATAACTGAGCACTCTGTCCTCTGTTGTCCTTTCTGTAATCCAACCAAGGTAAAGGTGCTAGTCATTCCCAACTCTAGGGGTAGTGCTCATCTCTGTTTCAAAGCCGAAGAGCCAACGCTGTCCGAAGACATCTCTGTGGTCATGTGACCGGCATGACTAAATGCTGAAGGCACATGGAACACTGTTGCTTTCCCACCAAAGGGGGTTTCTATTTTTCTACTTGCTTTTTTACATGCTTTTGAACTGCTAGATTGGCAGAAGCTGGGACAAGTAACGGGAGCTCACTCTGTTACGCGGCACTAGGGATTTGAACTGCCGACCTTTCTGATCAACCAGCTCAGCATCTTAGTCACTGAGCCACCATGTCCTTTAAGCCAACCAAACTCTTCTTTAAAGTAAGTGCTAACACTGGTGTGCCCCCTTTGGAGTAGCCCTAGAAGAAAATTCTTGGCAGTTAACAATAACCAAGAATGGTTTTTTTCTATAATTGAGGAAAAAAGAAAACTAAAATGATCTCTCCAATGAAAAAAAAAAAACCTCCTCTGGCTCCAAAGTAGCCTCCATCTTCCCTTTTTACATAATGATATTAAGATGTAACTGACAGGAATTACAAAACAAAAAAGAAATTATAGCAATAGCAATAGCAATACCAGTTAGACTTATATACCACTTCATAGAGCTTTCAGCCCTCTCTAAGTGGTTTACAGAATCAGCATATCGCCCCCACAGTCTGGGTCCTCATTTCACCC